TGTCCACCGGTCAACCGGTGACAGAGCAGTACAACACTACTGGTCGACCGGTAATGTGCACACCGGTCGACCGGACTGGTCGACCGGTCAGCCTGCAATCCGGTCGACCGCCCAGGTCGACCGGTGGAATCGACTGCGCGAGAGAAGCTCGCGGAAATCAGTCCAAAAACCTACAAATCCAGTCCCAAATCCAAATATTTCAAAGGGAAACCACTAGATCCGGGTTCTAGGTCCTAAAACAAGTCCAAAGAACCCAAGATCTCCAATTTCTACTCTAGTTTTACTCAAAATCATCAAAATCCGTTTTGAACCAAAAATAAGTTTTGAAATCCGAAAACATAGATTCAAGAGGGGTTCTTTCAGTAATCTTACCTCGAATCCTTCTCTTGACGTTGAAAACTCTTTGAAATCACTCTTGGTTCGAATCCGGTTTTGATTTGAGACACAAATGGGAGAGAGAGAGGGAGAGAGAGAGCACGGAAGTGTGTGAGAGAGAGAGAGAGAAAAACGCACGGGAAAGAAAAAGAAAAGGAAGGAAAAGAAAGGAAAAAGAAAAAGAAAAGAAAAGAAAAATAAAAGAAAGTGACATGTGTAAAATATAACAGTCCAGAAATGCGTCCATACACACTTCTGGATTAAATAAATTACTGTGAATAATTTAAATACCTTGGAATTATTTAAACTCAATTAATTAAATCAGATTAGGCACACTAATAATCTCAATTACCTTAATTAATCTCAATTAATTCTTCAGGGTGTTACAATGACACCAGCGAGTGCCGACAAGGATGCGACGAGAGGCTAAAGAGAACCCATCCCCTAACAGTGTTTCTGTTTGTCATCTTCGCAATCGACTCTGATTTTGCCTCATCCTTCCCTCTTATCATAACCATTCTATTGATGGGTTTGCATTGTCAACTGACTTGTGGGTTTCCATTAGAATTTGGAATCAAATTATGGATATGAAGAATTCGGTGTTAATAAGAGTGTTTGTTGTTGAACTTTGATTCGGTGGTACTAAGAATTTAGATTATGGGTATGAACTTTGCTTGTTAGAATTCGGTGGTTATAAAACTGAAATTTATGGGTGGCAATACAATTGAAATTTTAAATCTTTCACATTTTCTGTGGTCATGGTGGATATATACTGTTATTCTTTATTAAGATTTTGTTCAGAGAATTATTTGATACTTTCTTTACCAATAGACTTTACATATCCATTAATAATACCAAAATTATTTTGATGAGCAGTCAAACTCTTATGTACAGTTATACTTGGAATATCCAAGCTTGAATGAACCAAAACCTTTTAAACAGAAGTACTATTTATTACGTACTAGGTATTTCAATCACAAGTGTTGATCAAATTTCCTTTTTTTTATTGGGTATTCTCTTAATCACAAAATCTAGATGAAATTTGTTGAAATTGAAATTTGCTTAATGAACCAAAGCTATGTATTATTGGGTATTGTCTCATTTAGATTTTGTTTCAATGGAATAAACGAGGGTGACGAAGGTTGTCGGAGGCGGCAACAAGGTCCTGTGACGCTCACTTTGGGCGTTGTCAGTAGGGTGAAGGACTTCAACAGCATTTGTGTTTTAGTCAAATCTGGGTTTGGGTATTATCGCCAATCTAAACTTGAATTCAAGAATAGGATTTTTTTTTTTAATTAATCCAGAGTAAAATATTCTATAATTATTTGGTGCATCTTTTTAATCTGAACCATTAAATAACAATTGAACGGATGTTAATATTCACCTTACCGGTAAGGAAAAGTACACTTCCTACCATAAATTTTCCCCCAATAAAAAGACAATTATATTCTTTATGTATAAATGACTTAATAGAAGGTGCTCTTAGCATTCTTTATGGTAATGACATATTCATTATGATGATGAATGTATGGATAAGTTAATATACTGATATCAATTTCAATCCATTGCTCAGGGTAACTACTCGTTTATTATAATAATGGTTTTCAACTTGCTTTATGGTTGTAACATGTTCATTATGCAGAGGTTTGCATGGGTACACAAACATTGTTACAGTGATATATACTTTCCAATTTAGTATTTTGAAAATAAAGAATAAATATATAATAGATTGTTGAAAACTAATTATTTTGTACAATTTCTCTTTCAAATATCTTGTGTCAAAATCATATCACAAATTTTTAATGACAAAAATGACCTTGTCAACATTATGATTGTGTTATTGTTTGTACATATATTACATCTGTTTTATATATTACCGACTACAGTCTACTTAAGATTGATTTGCTATACTAGGCTTTCTTTACATAATCATTTTCTTTATGATAATTAATGATCTGAAAAATTCGCTTTATTTCCAATAGACAAAACATTTTTGTATGGAAATAAAAAGCTCTTCATGAAAATAAGTGTATGTTCACGGTGAACACAATCATGATCGATATATATATTCGCAATGAAAAAACAATTTATGTTCTCATAATTTTACTTTAATTATTATGACAAGAAGAATGTCACATGAACAAGTATGAATTAAAATCATTACACTTATTATTGTTGAAATATGTATAGCAAAAGTTATGAACCTAATTATAAAAAGTAATCATCACATGGCATGGCTTAATTTATAACGAGGAAATTATATCAATTAATTAATGGGAAGGCTGTGCAGCACAACAGTCTCGACGGTCAGACCGGGGCCGAAGCCGAAGAGGACGCCCCATTCGAGGCCTTCGCCGGTGGTGGACTTGCCTTCCTCCGCCGACTTCTTCCTCATCTCGTCTAATATGAAGAGTACGGACGCACTGGACATGTTTCCGTACTCGCTCAACATCTGACGAGTGGCCGTCAGCTTCTCTTTCTTCAGCCCAACCTTCGCCTCCACCTGGTCGAGGATCGCCGGTCCTCCCGGGTGCGCCACCCAGAATATCGAATTCCAGTCGCTAATCCCGATCGGAGTGAATGCCTCCACCAGACTCTTCTCTATGTTCTTCGATATCAACGCAGGTACGTCCTTGAGGAGATGAAATGTCAGACCCACTTCTCTCAAATGCCCGTCAATCGCACCCTCCGAGTCTGGAAGGATCGTCTGCGCCGCCGAAACCAGCTCAAACAGCGGCCTTTCGATCGACAAGTCCGGTTCTGCGCCGACGATGACTGCGGCGGCGCCATCACCGAACAACGCCTGCCCCACCATGGAGTCCAGGTGGAGTTCGGAGGGCCCGCGGAACGTGACGGCAGTGATCTCAGAGCAGACGACCAGGACCCGAGCGCCCTTGTTGTTCTCCGCCAAGTCCTTGGCGAGGCGGAGGACAGCACCGCCAGCGAAGCAGCCTTGTTGGTACATCATGAAGCGCTTGACGGAGGGGCGGAGGCCGAGGAGCTTTGTGATCTGGTAGTCGGCGCCGGGCATGTCGACGCCGGAGGTAGTGCAGACGATGAGGTGGGTTATCTTTGACTTTGGCTGGCCCCACTCCTTTATGGCTTTCACCGCCGCCTCTTTGCCTAGCTTTGGTATCTCCACCACCACTATGTCCTGCCGTGCGTCCAACGATGGCGCCATGTACTCGCACATCTTTGGGTTTTCTTTTAGGATCTCTTCCGTCAAGTACATGTGACGCTTCTTTATCGTTGCTTTCTCACCTGTATTTTAATTTGAACTTATGTAAATATATATGGGACAATTACCTCAATATATATATATATATATATGTGGGACAAAGATGGAACGTTGTATGTCCATCATGAACTTGAATAAACAATATATATGTAACAAAGCTTGTAGCATATAAATAAGGCTGTTAAAAGTAATTGCAAGAAAAATTATCATCAAAATCAATTTGAAGTTAAATAACATACACATGCGTCTAAACTTGTCCTTGAGTTCAGTCTTGTGTTCACTGTTGGTGATGCGGAAGTAAAAGTCAGGATAATCAGCCTGCATGAAGAAGTTGGGCGGATTGGCAGTGCCGATGGCCAGCACGGCGGCCGGCCCCTCGGCCCGCTGTGCCTTTCGGATTTCGTGGACGGAGGTCGCCATGCTAATTAATATTTAATTTGCTAGACAATATTATTGCTAGATAGCTTTGAGGGATTATGTCAAACTAGCTTAGCTTATAACTTGCAGTTTGTTGAATTGAAAAAACATTGAGTTAACAGGTATATATACACACCCGGTAATGTACTATAGAGAGGGGGGGTTAATGGGTAGGTTGGATAATGGCAGCTGCGTGGCCACGTGAGCCGTTGGACTTAGGCAGCTCAACCGGTAGCTAATATGCCACTTTTATTTTATAATTGATATGGTCCTTTTTTATTTTTTCTTGAGAGAAGAATGATATGGCCATACTTTGTCTATTGGTATTGACCAACCATAGTTTTCTGTATCTTGTGGAATGTCGTACCCGCCAATATTGACAATTCGTAGTTGTAATCAGTAGAAGCAATATAATATGTATACATATTCATGTTTATACATAAAGTTGGAGAAAATGTGATGTATCTTCCAAGCAATTCTAACACATTTTTAGCAAAGAAAAAAAAAAAAAAAAAAAAAAAAAAAAAAAAAAAAAAAAAAAAAAAAAAAAAAAAAAAAGAGCAATTCTAACACTTAGTGAATTTTACCGAGTTAAGATTCTAGAGGCCCATTCCTTCTTCCACTTTGGACCTACACTCTCTCACTTAAGGGAGAATAAATTACGGAAAAAACAAGAAATACCACTTAAGATTTAAGATGGTAAAACTATTATTCATGTTACTACACTAAAACATAAATAATTGACATTCAATTAATAAAGAGAAAATAAAAGCTTAATGACGCTCAATTATTTAGAATGACATAAATAATAGGCCTCTATAAAATCATGGTGAACCATGTACCTTTCTCATAACATAAATAACATATTTACAGTAAATAATATATTTTAAAACTATTTAAAGTAAATAAAAGTTAAAAAGAAAATTTACGAGGTAAAAAATCTAATTACTAGTCGTAAATAGAAAGTTTACGTGGTAAAATATCTTTTACTAGTCATAAATAAAAAGTTTACATAAAAAGTTTACATGGTAAAAATCTTTTTACTATTGTTTATTTTAAATATTTTAAAATATGTTATTTACTTAATTCAGTTTCGTAAAAATGTTATTTATTACCATGTCTCCTCACACTTAATATGTAAGCTTATAATCAGTCCTTGAATAAGTTTGGTCTATAGAAACACAACACTTGTGCTAAAATTATCTTTTTACCCTTAACGGTGGTAAAATTAACATTTTTCCCTCCCTTACACGAGCCATTTGTTCCAAGTCGATTCTAGGCCCGTTACTTGGTTTAGACATATTACCTAGACTTAAGGTCTGCATATACACAAATAGAGCTGTAAGTTTAGGTTGAGCTAAACGAACTGGCCTTAAGCCTGTCACTGTTGGCCGGGGCCTAGCTCTAACTCTTGGGCTGGGCTAAGGTGGTACTTTAGGCCCTAAATTGTTTTTAGGCCAGGCCGGTCAGGCTCAAAGTGCTTTTATTTTATTTTATTTTCACATTTTTTTTGTAAAAGTTAGGTTTGACCCCACCCTAAGCTCGTCGGGCTTTAGGACTGGACTGGGCCGACCTTCTTATTTTTAGGGCCGGCCTTGCCTGAATACTCCCTTTAAGCCGTTGGGCCGGGCGGCTCAAACTTTCAACTCTATAGCATCCTAATTTTTCCCTTGCTATCATTTGGGTGTCCCTTAAAATGTCCCAACACACAACAAGTACAAATTTGCACTTTGGACTCTCTATTTCCTAGTTTTTTACAGTTTGGATCTTCTAAACTTAAAATCACGATTTCAGGTTTATTTTAAGTCATTTTCCTTTGAAGCTTAACACAAGGGTCCTCAATGTCATGTCAATTTTCGTCCATAAGTTAACAAAGGGGGAAATTTTGCAACATTTCTAAAGTCCGAGGAAACAGATGTTACAAATTGAAGTTTGAGGAGCATCCACGTAATTTGTCCTTATTAATTTTCTTGGAAGAAAGCAAGATCAAAGTGGCAAGTGCACTGACCAACGTATTTAAAAGAATGAAGATTTATAGCTTCCACTTGGATTGTCTCCCATTGCGCACATACATTCAACAACTTGAGACTCAAGCTCGAAATTTGAAGATTCTTCAAGCTGTCGCATTCGTCTAAGTACAATTTCTCGAGGGAAATTCTCACCTTCCATCTCAGATTTCCTTAACGACAAACATTTCAAAGATGGAAGGCTCATAGGATAACAAGACTCTCTACTTCACAAATTCTAGGTTTAGGATAGTCAATAATGTTAAATTAAGTACAAGTTGAGGCAGGCAATAGTATCCTCTCTTAGGACATTCATCTTGCATATTGAGATGCAATTCTTGGAGATGGGGATGAGCCGCAGAACCTAACCGCCTATCCACTTGAGAACTGCGACCGACCGTTGTAGTATATCTCAAGTTTAAACCTAGTTACGACAGAATTTGTATCGTGTTGCGTACCCATCTTGTGGTTCTTCAAACACTGCTCCACAAAATTGAAGGAGAATTCATTTTCAATATCATCATCAGAAAGTTCTAAAGTAGGAATTGAGCACCACATTCGTCTCCAACGCCTAGAAAGGAGGCTCATCCGAACGACATTAATAGTGGGTATGAAAGAAAGAATATGATGGATAACATGATCGGGTAGTTTTAACTACTAAACATATAAAACACAAGAAGACATCAAAGGGGTAGATTAAAGCCATCTCAAATGGCACAAATGTTCCGAAAGACGAAATTTACTCTTTTCAATTCAATCTAGTAAGTGAAAGAAGAGCCAAGATTTATCTCAAACTGAGCAATCCCATATATATTCCAACGTTTATCAAATCATAGCCGAAGTTACAGATTAAACTAATGGACTTAGAGACTATGAGATCTTGACCTTAACGTGTTAGCTACAGACAGAAAACCCCCAGTTTTGTCATTAAATATTTCTATAAAAACTAGTAAGTAAAATAAAAATCATATTCAATAAGTTAGTCTCAAAAGAAATAGAATCAGGTGTGTGCCTTATCAAATCGTATGACCAAAATTGTCCATTTCAGCTTGAGTTGTATGTTGTATACTTCATTCATATGTATGTATGTATGTATGTATGTATTTTGTATGTATATATGTATGTGCGTGCCTATGTATGTATGTATGCATGGTCGTAAACGCAAATGAGCAGAGTAGAGATGCAAGAACGGGCCGGCCCGGCCCAGCCTATTTTCCTTAGGTCCACGCAGGTTGTGGGTCGGGCCGGCCTAGCTCTCAAATTTTGTGGGCCGGGCTGCCCCGTACAAGAATTATCTCGGCCCAGCTCACACCACGGGCCAGCCCATCTAAGCATACAATTTTTAATTTTTTAATTTTTAAACAAGTTAACAAATATAAAAGTTTGAATAGTTAATAGAAATATGAAAATGGATATTTTATTTATAATTACCTCATTAAATACAAACATTTATAAGGAAAACCCAGTGGGACAAAACTTTGGTAAGGAAAAAGAGTACAACCAGGATAATTATACATAAGATGTTTACAAAATTACTAAAAAAAAAATGAAGATATTATGGGCCTAGACGAGCCGGGCTGGGCTGGCCCATCATGGGTCTAGACGGGCCGGCCCAGCTGGCCTGGCCCATGATTTTTCATGGGCCATGCGAGGTCGCCCCATGGGCCGATATATGTTGGCCCAGCCCATCCCACAAATATTTATGGGATGGGCCGTGCCTTGAAGAGTGATAGGCCGTGCCGGCCCGGCCCATCACTATGTCAGGATGGGCCTAGGCCGGCCCACGGGACCCGGCCCATTATTGCATAGAGATGCGAGAACGGGCCGGCCCGGCCCATTGTTGCATAGAGATGCGAGAACAGGCTGGCCCGGCCCATTCTCCTTAGGCCCACACGGGCCAGGGCGACCTTGCCCATGAATTTTATACGCCAGGCCGGGCCGGCCCATATAAGAATTACCTTGACCCAGCTACACCACAGGCCAATTTTACGTGGGTCAGGCTGGGCTGTGGCGTGGGGCAGGATGGGCCGTGCCATGGGCCTTGAATGGGCTAGCCCATTCAAGGCCCATCTTGGCCCATCATGAGCTTAGATGTGCTAGCCCATCTAAGCATGCAATTTTTAATTTTTATTTTTGAATTTTTAAATAAGTTAACAAATATAAAAGTTTGAATAGTCAATGAAAATATGAAAATGAATATTTTATTTACGATTGCCTCATTAAATAAAATCTTTTCTAAGGAAAACCCAGTGGGACAAAACATTGGTAAGAAAAAAAGAGTACAATCAGGATAATTATACATAAGATATTTACAAAATTACTAAAAAAGAAAAAAAAAATATGAAGATATTATGCCCCTAGATGGGCCAGCCCACATGGGCCTAGACAGGCCGGCCCAAATCCGGCCTGGCCCATGATTTTTCATGGACCGTGTCAGGCCGGCCCATTGGCTAATATATGTTGGCACATCTCAGCTCACCAATATTTATAGACTGGGTCATACGACGGATCATGCCTTTTCGGCCCGTTACTCTGTTAGGATGTATCTGGGCCGGCCCACGAGCCCCTGCCCATTGTTGCATCTCTAAAGCAGAGTAAGAAGACCAAAAAAATCCTTACAAAAATAGACTATGAATAATTCTTTACTCTTCGGTCGTTAAATTTATATTAAAATTTATCTATTTTACATATTTTTTGAATTTAATATAATTTTAATATGATTAATATTTAAAAACTGAAATTAGTAATAAGACAAACTACGGAAGGAGAAATGTTGTAAATTTTCCCTTCTGTTAACTTCTGGATGGAAATTAACATGTGAGGCCGATGTGATGCCAATTTTGAGGGTAATTTAGTAAATACATTAATGAAGTTGTTAATGAGGGTTTTATAACGCTTTTAATTCCGCATTTTTTCCCAATTCGATCAAAACCCTAAAACTAAAAGAAAGAAACCCAGAGCAAAAAAAAAAAAAAGGAGCAAGAATCCCAGTGCATACAACTA